TACTCGACAGGACACATATATATACTACTGATTTATTTGTCGATGACAAGAAAACTGATACCACAATCTATCACCAACCCAACCCACCCCAAGGAACGTCCCTGTCGCTTATACTTCATTTCATATATATATATATATATATATATATATATATACACAGACCAAGTCCCTATTGCCAGCACAAAATCACCACTCATTCTCTACTTCTCTGCACTATATATATATATATATATACAAACACCAACTCCCCATTGCCGGCACAAAGTCACCACTCATTCTCTCTCATCCTCTGCTCTGTTCTGTCCTAGTAATCTGCTATCCTTTTACAAACTTTTATGCAGAAAATGGGGAGCTTGGAAGTGGAGAAGGAAACAACTGGATGGGCAGCAAGAGACCCTTCTGGGATTCTCTCACCCTACACCTACACTCTCAGGTTCTTTACTAGTCTCTCCATCCTCTTACACGATTTTTCTGTACTCTTTTTTTGTTTTAATCTTCTTGCTTCTGATACATTATTTTCCGTCTGGAAAAAAATATGCAATCAACAGAAACACAGGCCCTGAAGATGTTTATGTCAGGGTGATATGCTGTGGGATTTGCCATACGGATATTCACCAAATCAAAAATGACCTTGGCATGTCCAATTACCCCATGGTTCCAGGGTATACTTCCCTTTTACTTCGTTTTTTTTTTCCCCTTTTTTGTAGTCTCAAATATTGATCAAACAATATGAGCCATCCTAATAATAGAAAGGACTTTTTCGTGTACTTCCTTCAACCACATTCCAGTAGTCGAGAGAAGGCGGTAATGGCCTCGCGTTTTGAGTTTATTCCACGTATAGTAAAAGTCCCATGGGAGTAGAAATTCTCCTCTCACCACTGGGATCTTGCTTCAATTGTTTATCCCTGATAAAGCCGTAGAGTGTAACTTGGAACAAAGATTAAAGCGCAGTTAGTCCAGTAAATCCAACATTAGGAAAGGATTAATGCCTTCTGATAGTTAGTTATGGGTAACCTGATGAATTGCTTAGGAGGAGTATAGCCTTCTTCTTTTTCTTCTTTTGATATCTGGCTTACAACTGTGAATTTGCAACTGTGGAAAAGGCATGAAGTAGTTGGTGAGGTGGTTGAGGTGGGATCGGAGGTCACCAAATTCAGGGTAGGAGATTGCGTTGGAGTTGGCGTAATAGTTGGATGCTGCAAGACTTGTCGCCCATGCAAAGCAGACATAGAGCAGTACTGCAACAAGAAGATTTGGTCTTACAATGATGTCTACACCGACGGCAGACCAACCCAGGGGGGTTTTGCTGGTGCCATGGTTGTTCATCAACAGTAAGCGAATATTCCTCTCTTCTCTTTATCTATCTATCTGCCTTCCTGGTTTTTTAATTCATTATATGATATCCACCAGGCCTCCATCTTCAATCAACTCAACCTTTTTTTTCAAGAATGGTCCACATGCATGTATAATTGTCTTTGGTAGGTCGATTCGTTTCTTGACGCGGCCAGAAGTTAGGCCGTTGACTCCTGACTTCGGGTGAAGGGCATATTTGTCCTTTCAAACCATCCGAAAATTCATCTCTGTGTTTCCTTGTAGATTATTACAACTGAAATGGAAGTGTTAAAACTTGTTATAGTACATCATTGCTGCTTTGCAATCACCCAAAAAAAAAAAGAAAAGAAACAAGGGTTTGTGGTGAAATCTTCTCTTCCGTGTTCTTCCCCTAAAATCTCGAGCAAAGAGACAGTAGTGTTCAAGAACGCAAAAACTTATGATCAACAATACATTTCAAAAATATTCCAGGTTTGTTGTGAAAATACCAGATGGTATGTCAGCAGAGCAAGCGGCACCCCTGCTGTGTGCTGGGGTGACAGTATACAGTCCACTCAACCATTTTGGCCTAAAGGAAAGTGGATTAAGAGGAGCAATACTTGGACTGGGAGGAGTGGGGCATATGGGAGTAAAAATAGCAAAAGCCATGGGGCATCATGTTACGGTCATAAGCTCTTCCAATAAAAAGAGAGAGGAGGCCATCGAGCACCTTGGTGCGGATGAGTATGTGGTCAGCTCCGACAGCGCCCGGATGCAAGAGTTTGCCGACTCGATAGACTACATCATTGACACAATCCCTGTGTTTCACCCTCTCGAGCCTTACCTGTCTTTGTTGAAGGTGGATGGTAAATTGATTCTGATGGGCGTCATCAATACTCCATTGCAATTTGTCAGCCCAATGGTTATGCTAGGTCAGTTTACTTTCTTCACATTCAGCATTCTCAGCTGTAACAAAATACTGACTAATTAATTCTTTTGTGTCTCTCTCTCAAGTCTCTCTTGCATTGTTGGTAATCGACTAATCGTTGCGTTTTCTTTCTTGACTTTATGCCATTGCATTCATCAAGAATCAATTAGGTGGTTTATAGGTTGAAAGCTAACTGAAAAGCTGTTTTATCCAGGAAGGAAAACGATCACGGGAAGCTTTGTTGGTAGCATAAAAGAGACGGAAGAAATGCTTGAATTTTGCAAGGAAAGGGAGCTAACATCCACGATTGAAGTTGTGAAGATGGATTACGTCAACGCGGCCCTGGAAAGGTTGGAGAAAAATGATGTTAGGTACAGATTTGTGGTGGACGTTGCCGGCAGCAAGCTTGAGCAGTGAAAATTGCACGCAAATCCCCCAAAGCAAAACAACCAAGTTTAACTTGCTACTATATATACATCCCCTGCTCAAAATCAAATCAATCCCTTTGTTGAGACTCATATTTGTGCTCCTTTTCCCTTTGAATGCTTTGATGTGTGGCTTCATCATCATTATTTGAAAGTTAAAAATGGCCATTTGTATTTTGTTGCTAAATAAAGACGATCGATGGAATCACTTTGCTTCGATTTGTTTTACTTTGAATTTGATGCCCGTATATAACTACGGCTTGATTTTGTTGTTCTCCTCATCATATTCCTAAAACTATTCAATGTTATGTGGCTAGAATGCGCTCTTTGGTCTTTGTTATTCTTCTTAGTGATTGTGAAAGATATTCGTCTGGTCTTTGTTTTACGTGGTACCCACCCATTCTTCGATCTTCAATTGCACGGTAGGTGAAAGGCTGTTTTTCAAGACCCCATATTGGGTTTTTTGCCCATTTTGCTTTGCGACATTTGTGGTAGTCTGCGACCATTTGACTTGTCGTATGTGGCCGCTACCAATACTGCTGCTTGCTCGCTCGCTAATTTCTCCATCCGTGGCCGAAAGCGATAGAGTGGATGCCGTTTGCCTGTTGTGTCCAAATCGGAATGGATTTTACGCTTATCCTCCTTCAAATCATCACTTCCACCTTCTCATTTTCTTGAGAAATAAATTTAATCGTGGGGACATATAGTTTGTTGTTACTGCTAGCAGTCGCTTCCGGGACCCAGAATTCGCTTTTTTTTTTTGGCAGGACTGTTTATGCAAAGAGAAATAATAACTCATTTCCGAGGTATAAATCATAAATGCACTGCTCCTACTTGGCTCTGTTTATCATATTCTTTCTTTTGGGTTCCTCCAACGGAGCAATGACAGAGGAGGGACGGCTTCTTCTTTTGAGCCAAGCCCTTAAATCTGGCCTTGGATTTCTTCATCACTCAATCAATTAAAACAACTGAGACACGGATGAATGATGACTAGATTAGACCTGATGGCATTTCAAATACTACAAATTCAGGAACTCAAAAGCTACTCTATACTTACAGCTGCCTTCCTAATTGATGATCCTAATTGCCTTCGGATTGAAAATCAAAGGACACATTCAGACACGCCTTTAGGGAAGTCCCGCTGGGGGCTGCATTGGCCGCAGAAAATCAAATGCCCAGTTGATGTTTTGGACTGGAAAGAGAGTCAAATGACCAAGAAAATCATAACATGCTAAAATCTAAAATGAGAAATGTTGCCTTCAGATTTGGTAAGTGGGTCCGTTGAATTTGCAGCTGCTCATCTAGAACGTCTGCTTACTATTGAGCTTCCACCAACTCCAAATGACGAATTCCCAGCACCCGTGTACACCCGCTCCCGAGGTCTAACCCAAAGCCAATCATTTTATTTTCCGTCCCACTTTGATAGTCCTGTTTTTCTTTTTTCGTCTGTCCCAAATTATAATCCACTTTTCAATTGAAAAATGTAGTTGTATTTTAATTTCTTTAAAATACCCTTATTCAATGTAAGTTATTATTACTATAAATTACCTTATTTAATACTCCCTCCGTCCCACTTTGATAGTCATATTTTCCTTTTTTGTGGGTCCCAAATTGTAATTCACTTTTCAATTGAAGAATGTAGTTGTTTTTTAATTTTTCTAAAATACCCTTATTCAATGTAAGTTATTATTACTATAAACTACCTTATTTAATACTCGCTCCTTCCTACTTTGATAGTCATGTTTTCCTTTTCCGTCTGTCTCAAATTGTAATCTACTTTTCAATTGAAGAATGTAGTTATTTTTTAATTTCTCTAAAATATCTTTATTCAATTCAAGTTATTATTACTATAAATTATCTTATTTAATATAGATTATTATAAAATATAACCTACCCCACTTAATACATTAAATGAAATACTATTGGCGGAGTACCTTATTTAATATAGATTGTTATAGAGCCTACCCCACTTAATGCATTAAATGGAATACTATTGGCGGAGTACTAGGCTGATGAAATGGAGTATTGGCAGAAGTTGAATGCTAGGGTTCATGATCAATACGGCTCTTCGTGATCAAGTTCATGAAATATTAGGCGGCTAAACTTTTTTTTATTGAAAATGTGAAATAATGTAAAATGCAAATCGATTCTTTTTTTTATCATCAATTCAAGTTCCCATAAACTATCAATACAAAATTTCATGAATAATTAATATAAAATTATACTCTATTTAATGTAAAGATATTTTAAAAAAATAACAATCTAAATTTATTTTTTCAACAAAGTTAACTACTTTTTCTTAAACTGTGCGGAAAAAAAAACTAGGACCATCAATATGGGACAAAGGGAGTATAGGTTTTGTCCAAATACAAAATTTCAGGAGCATTTACACAGCGATACAGATTATATATGTTCATGTTTCGTGCCTGAGACAAAAATGGAAATAAAAAATCTATAATGAATTCAAAGGATGGTTACTTTTGTCGAAGCGACGCAAGAGACTCCGTCCTTGACAATGAAGGAGCAAGTGGAGTGCAAGTTCTGTAACTAAAGTACACGCATTCTATATTTCCGCAGATGTTGTACAAGAACTTTTATCAAAAAAATGCACTACAGCATCCACTAAGGATGATATTTTAATGAACGAGCAAAATTGTGAGAATGAATAGAGCTTCACTTCATCAATTTTCTCATCCAACCAATTTAGGAGCCCTTTTGATGGAAGTATAATTTTCACGCTTTAACAGAATGAGGCCTTAACAGAGAACTACAGAACCTTCGTCCGAGAAATCCTGTCTTCACTCAAAGAGGGTCGTTACTGAACTAATCAACCGTTTCATGCTTCTCAGTTTGTAGCTGGATCCTCCCATGTATCATCTTAGTGTTAGGCGTGGCTATTCCAACTGACTGAAGTACATATTCATGACATATCTCGACGGATTGAAACCAATCAGAATCACTGCCAGCAAGAGAAAAGTTCAATAATAGCAGGTATGCAACCAAAACACAAGCAGGGTATTCGTCTACTTACAGATTGGTGAGAGGACAATTACGACACCAATTGGGTATAGGAAGAAGGTTGTTCTTTCCAAGAAAGGCAGTACTGCAACAGGTAAATATGTGATAATTTTAGCTTAACTTGCAGAAAGACATTAAGTGGGTGACAGACCATCATGGTAAAGTGCCATTCCCTCCACCATAATCTACAAATTACATAGCAAAAGCTAAAGGGAGCAGAATGTATATGTGATCTTTGCACTAGAAAAAAGTATACAGAATAATCTACTGATAAAGGCATTGACCTGTTTATCTTCCATTAGATGATTGGAAGGTCCAGGTACTAAATATAGCCAACATCAAATCTCTCATGGCCTGAGAGGAGAATTGTTGTTGGAAAATTTAACCATTGTAATTCCAATAATTAGAATTTTCATTCACATCAGATATTTAATACTAAATGTTGACAAGTGAAATGGAACTTGCCGATCACTAATGCTTGTTGCAATAGACTAACTTCAGAACAAGTCGGAAAAATAAATAATCTGCTCCCCAGTAGAGGACAATACATGTATAAATTCACTTTCTATATATATATACATATAAGCATTTCACAATCTTTGCCAGAACATAACAAGGAAGATCTCAAATAATAGAGTGGAAGATCCTTTTACATATAAGTAACCATGAAATTTTGGTCAAAATGAATCCAAGATATGGTTTATACCTCCTTCCCAAACCAAGATATCCTCTTAAACAGTAAACCTAACAACTATATAAAGTTGTTTGACAAGTACGGTACCCCAGAGGGGGGGGGGGCAAGAAAGTTCTAAAACCATATTATAAAACTGGTAAAAGTAGAAATGCACAACTATTGTTTAGATCCGTGTCTTACCATCATAACCCAAAAAATTCAAGTAGTGATAGTAGGAAGCAGCCACCATGAAGAGCAAGTTTGATAGCAAAACAGGAATGAAACCATGAGCTATCAGCAGAGGTGACAAAAAATAGTGTATGACTGGCATGAAAACGAACATATCATTAGCATCCCAACAATATTTGAGCTCCAAATTTGAAAGCTCATAAACTTTGAAACAAAACTTACCATATAGCAGAACAAACATTGGGAAGAAAGAGTTGCAGTGTACATCAAATGCGTACAACCTTCATGAATGGAGTAGAAAACAATTTTTAGCACACACAACAAACAGAAATGCCAAATGCAGAATCAAAGAAGAGATGGAACAAAGAAAATATGATGTCTATTTGCATGTCTATTTTTTCTGGGGTTACAAGAGTCATTTTAGTCCAACCAGACACATGTTCCAAGCCACAATAGAAGCATTCTAATATATGAAGAAAACAAATAGTCCAGCGGGCACAAACTTAAGGCACTGATTGTTTCGAGGGAATACAGGGGAAAGAAAAGGAAATGGAGGTATAAGGATATTGATGTTTGGATTTTTTTTTTATAAGGAGGGAAAGGAAAGGACAGGAGGGCTAAGGTCTAGTTATTTTTTGTCAGTCTGTTTTCCATCCAAAAGTGGGCAGAAACGGAAGGAGAGGAAACCGAGATAAATGAAAATTTTAAAATTTCCTCAGAAACCTGTGTTTTTAAATTATTATGGATAAAAACGTAACTAAAGCATGATAGTTTCTGTTCCTTTCTTTTCCTCCCCTAACCCAAACAATACTTCTAATGTTTCCTTTCTATTTCCTTTTGTATTTAATCCAAACAAAATGGCACTAGCATCTTCTCCTTCCCTTTCCTTCCTTTTTGTTCAACCCAAAAGGTGCCTAAAACACACAGCAAGAAGGGATAAAGGATAGGTCAGAACTTGCCATTCCACTCGTTGCTCCACCACATGACTGTTTGGAACTTCTTCACGAAGATAATTGTTGGTCAAGAACCTGCAAGGAATTTAAAAAATAAATAAATAAAATAAAAAGATGGAAAATCATATCCAATCAGCTTTCCATGACACCTTTTGTATTTTAGAATTTTCTTGTTGCTTTAAGTTTTCTTGGTGGCACTAAAATTGAAAACTTCAGGTATAATAAAAATTAAAAATGACAGGCTAACATGATCTATTAACTCATATGGCAACAACAATTTAAATCTGGGTGGCAAAGAAAATACTCAGACCCCTGGTCAAACAGGTGGTATTACAAATTCTAGCCTTTGATATTTCTAGGGAGATTAGATTAGTCCGTCCACCCAAATCAAAGCATAAAAAGGCGTTTGTGGCTGTTAAAGTTTTTGAGCCAAAACAAGGGTAGTTAGGTCATATGGAATTTAGGAGATTAATGGTAGTCTCATTATTCATGGGGATGTCGAGATTTACGTAACTGCAGTAGGAACTAAAAATACACACATTTAAGATTTAGGTTGACTTACACAGAAGTACTAAGATCTCCTAATCTGAACATACTGTTATACTAGAGACTGAAAAAATTGCAAAGCTTAGAGATCAGAAGACCAGGGGGCCACAGCTCAAACTCAGATATTTGTATCATCTAACTAGGCATCACTATAGCTGCTCATGTCTGGTAAACAGGACGTTACTATCTTTGCTGAATGATACTCCTAATTGGGAATAGCAACAAACACCAAGAAACTTGGACCACAAGAATTCTTCTTCAACTTCATACCTATTGTTACTCTCTTATTATGCTCATTCAGAATGTTCTCATGGGTATACCTCGTAGTAACTTTGAAGTACTCTGAGCTATCAAAAGAGGCCTTGCGACAGTAGCATGGTATAGAACATAAAGGGGCACCACCCACTAATAAAGAAACTAGTGCCAAACAAGTAGATTCTATACAGATGAGTAACAGCTTTAGTCCAGTGGCAATTGTTCAGACAATCAAAGTATAGGGTACCCTTTCCCTTCCTTCCCCAGCTTCCCTTCCCGCCTCCACTTATGCAAAGGAAATGACATTAGAAGAAAAGTCAATACTCTGAGAATTGAACTTTCCTCATTCAAAATTTATGAACAGTGAGAAATACAAGACAAGTACCTTATAACATCTAACTCCATAAAGGAAATGGAATTCTAAGAAAAAGGAGTTTCATCAGCTCACCAGCAACATGTAGCCAAAATTGCACCAGTCATCAAAAGATGAAAAAGCAACACTGACAAAACTACATAAACAGCGTGTCCCACACTATGATCATACCTGAAACAAGTAATATAAAGGTCAGGATCAGCATTGATTTGCATATAAACATTTTTTAATGCCTAACAGAAAATAAGATGAGAACCACGAGCCCGCTGAATGTCATATTGTGATTCCACGTTCCTCAAGTTTGTTGACCAAAATACAGAAAAGGAATTCCCTCAACATAACATGTTATGGTGTAAAAGCAAAAAGTCTTCAACATTCAACTTAACTATTGCGCCATCATGAAAAATAGTCATGACACACACCAAATACTTACGCGGCACAATAAGCTGAGGTGGAAACTACCAAAAGAAGACTGCATATCACTACGAATGCTGGATCATCACGTGCCCATTGATTCTTTGTTTCTACAAGCAAAATTTTAGTGAAATAATTAAATAATGGGTCAACATCTACTGACTCCTAGACTTCAAACTTAGGAAAAAAGAACCAGGGAAAGAAAGGATGGAAAATAACTATTCTTACAGATTCAGGGAGGGAAACACAGAGGAACGGCAGGTTAATTAACTACTTTCTTCTTACAAATCAGACGTAAAACCTAACAATAAGAATAAAATCCTCATTTACTTAATATGTTTGTCCATTAATACCATTATTACCTCCTCAAACTTCTAATTTATGTATCTGACTGCCAGACATCGCTTTACCTCAACAGCATAAGAGGTAAAGTAACTCCAAACTACATGCTTAATGCCAATAGCAGACAACCTGCTGTTATTTTCTGCCCAATGTGTCCATTTGTCAATTTTCAGGCCTAGCAAACAAAAGCTTCAAGAGTTGAAGCTTTACTTGTTTGCACATCTAGAGTCACATGCATTCCAAGTTATTTTATAGAAGGATAACATCGCTACTAATATCACAACGACCAGAAAGAAAAAAAGGAGCTCACTGTACCATCACCAGATTCTTAATGTTTCTTTCATACTTCCTATTGATTTGAAGTACATATAGTATAATAGTTATGAACCACAATATGAAAACTCAAATCAATATGAAATAAAATTCACAGATCTTGTAATTGAAAGAAAAACTAGCGTCTTTAATTTATAATCTTAAACAGCTACAGGTGTTCTAAATTGAAAAAACATCAAATATAAGCAAAACCAGCTTATAACTGGAATGAGAAGACTTCAACACACAGAAACAATGCAGCACAGAGAAAAATTCAAGGAAGCAGAGAAATCCAGAAGAGGTGACAAAAGGCAGCACACTTACGCTTGTGATATTTAGTGTGCTGATATCTGCATCGGTTGTACAGTTTCACATGCAAAGAACAGAAGGCATGTTGATTAGACACGAGAAAACACATAAAAAGCATCTTCTAGTCTAGTACTTTCTAATTAGGAAGAAGTACATATTGACAGCATCTAGGATAACTTCAATTTTGAACAATCACACCAAACAACTGCACATAGCACAGCTCAGGATAATATGTGAACTAGGAAACTGAAAAAAATACCCAATCATTTAGGAAAAGATTAACAGAGCATAAACCTAGGTAAAGAAACCAAAAAACCTAAGTAAACACTACATGTTGTTGAGCAAGTCATCTAGAAGGATCAGAAGTCCACAATGGTCATTACGATTTCACAAAAAGAGAATCATGACACATTAGACGGTCCTAATTCAGATACTTTCAGTCACTTAATATGTTAGTAACAGATCCAGTTTTCTAGGTATCAAGGTTTTTCCATTCCATCATATGAGTCGTGAAAACTGTAAAGAGTGCTTACACATTAAAAAGAAGGTTCATCAAACAGTTAATAGTGTAGCATCTAAATTAAATTTTAAACAAAAAAGGCTTAGTGCTACATCTGAAAAAAATCAGTAGGCCAGAGAGAGAGCAATAGTAGACTCAACCCAGTAGCTCAATACTTACACCACTTTTGGCGAGGTGCATAAATGTAGCATTTGCCAGAAAGTATATTCAATGTCCATTTGTTGCCACTACAATGAATGAAGCAACAACAATTAAAACCAAAAGAAGATGAGAACATATTGGAAGAGGAGAAGATCAAAGGGTAATCCAGTTGAGTAGAACAAAATCACATAGTAAGAAAGCAAAGCCTCGTCTTCAATTAAGCTCTTGAAGAGTACAAAACAACATCATCAGGAAGGAAAGAATCAGCATTTCGAATTTCAAAAAAACATTCTACCAAACGGATAGTGGCTCATATTTTTCTAAATCTAGAGCTTATTAAAAGAGCTGAAAAGATCTGATCCAACTAAAGGTTATGCCTAATAGAATCCCTAGAGGTATCAGGATTAAACCCATATGCATGAAATCAGAGAAAGGTTCATGCTACTCTGTATCCTTATATGGTTGGGACAGCACCCTCCCTCCGCACCCCTCCTCCCCCCCCCCCCCCCCCCAACATCCCCCTATCTGTAGCTGAAAAATACTTTAATCCTCACACCAAGAAACCCACTGGTAACTCTCAAATTCAGCAATGAATACGATAGAGTTTACATTTCTGTTCCCACTGTATCCTCTCAACAAAATAGGAAATGCTAAATAAAACCCTTGGTGGCCTAGATAGTTGCATTCTCCAAAATAGCTGGAGCTATAGATAGTTCTCCTCTCCAACAACCCACAACCAACCTGATCACCAAATCCCTTCCACCAATCCCAATTGCACGTCTGTTCTCAATAATATAGCAACCAGTCTGAGTTGAAGCACACCCATCTAAGTCAATCACTAAGAGAACATAAAAGAATTTTTTTCCCACGTCTATTCACTTCGATCCTGATAGCTAACAACAATGCCCAGAGCTTTTCATCCCAGCTGTGCTATCAAATTTCAGACCCAAATTAAGCAACTCACCTAACTAAGAGTTTTACAGTGTAATCGCATACAGAATTTTCCTTTTTTTTAAATCCAAAATGAGGCATAGACGCACTTGGCAGTTGAAATAGTGGAGATCAGATCTATCCAGTTCGATCAAAATACACGTAAATGTGTGTGCTAATGTGGAGAGTCTCAGAGCAACAGAAACGAAGAAAACCTTGACGATTCTACGGAGATAATGAGGGAAAGGAGAATTGGGCCGGGCATTGGAGCTCGTCCGCCCCTTTGATGTAGTTGGCAGCATCTTCCCTTTCTCCTTTTCTTTTCTTATTTCTTTCTTTCCCCTGGATTTTTCTGCGAAATTTTGGAGTTCCGCAGATAGAATTTTGAATTGATTTTGAAGATTTCTTCTTAATTGCGTGTTTGTTTGAACGGGGAGTTAGATTGGAGTAGGAGTTGGATTTGGTGTTATTATTCTTTCTGGGTTCGGATTTCTGGCAGCCCTTCCCTTCCTTTTCTAAATTTCTCTCTCTTTCTGGTAATCGGTGGTGAGGCTGGCTGTGGCGTCTGGGTTCCGTCACGATCTTCATTGGGTTTGGGTTCAGTTTGAAAGTCAACCGGTCCATGGAGAGGCATTGGGTTGGATTTTAGGCTGGCCCAACACATGATTTGTTTAGTTTTATTTACGTTTTATTTAAGTACTGGTACGTATTCGGTATTACTATTACAGGACGAAAAACAATGAGGAAGAAACTTGATCCAAAACTTTACAGGGTGTTTGGTTCAAGTCTAGGAATCGAAATTGTAATCGGATTCATTTCTACAAAAATTAGTATGAATTTTAATCCAAGGTATCATTACAACTGTTTGGTAAATATTTATGAGGAACAGGTATTACATTAAAAACAAATATTTTATCATATGTTTAATTTCTTTTTTCCCTTTTCTTCTTTCATCTCTTTCTCCTACAGCTACCCCATGGCAATGCGGCATTTCATAAACAATTAACCATTGATCAATTGCAAAAGCTATTGGAATTTCAAGATCATTATATCTTCTCCCTAAACACCAAAAAGGAAAGAAAAAATAACCAACTAGGTTGGTTGCAGTGGAACAAAGGGACGAGAAAATTTTGCATCTACTTACTCCATCACTTAATGTCTGCCATCCATGGTAACTAGACAAAAAATCAAAGGGACACTATTCATCAAGAAAAAAAAAAAGAGTTTGCAATTCAAGAGTCAATTGGGATAAAATTTTTGGTCAATATAAAAATGTCTCCCATGGTCTTATAATGCCTTGTAGGCAATGGGGGTGGAAGCGGCAAAGGAGAAGAAGAGTTGGTAGATCACGAAAAGTGAAGTAGGGATAAGAGTGGCCTACTTGTCAAATTTTTGAAATCTGCTGAATCAAATTTAGAAATCTACCAAAACCCTCCAATTTGCTCGAGATTGAGAACTCCCAAATTTTAATGATTCATTCCAAAATTTTGAATCCAAACTACTAATATTAGAATTATTTCAATTTCTGATTCCTATCCCCTCTTACCAAACGCCACCTTAATGTATTCGTTTGATAATCTTTTCCTTTGACACAGGATTTATTATATTCACAAGTACTTGACCACCTATTTAGCTATTCGCTGTCCCTTTTCTGGAAAAAAAAAAAAACCTTAATTTGCCATAATACATCATGCAACTTGTCCTGATAAAAATTAGAGAAGGAGATAAATAGAGTAAGAGTGGCGACTATTTAATCCAATATATTCCATCGCTGGTAATTATGATAATACAGCATGGAGCTCATGTTATCATCCCCCAACCTTTTCTTTTACTATGACTTTATTTTTTTTTAGAAAAAATTCGCGTTTGCCCCTCCCGTAAATCCAATTTTGTCACCTCTTAGCTCAAGAAAAGGATAATAGAGTAATAAAACATTCGCATATGAGAAATATTGCTGACTCCTAAGAAGGCAAATTCAGTCAAGGAACGATTGCAAAATCTGCATTTACAATACAGTAAAAGCAGATTGGAGTTAGGTTAAACGTTAATACATACATCATTTCCCTTTGGCTGTGGGCAACGCTACATCAGGGTGATTCTACCTTTTTTTTTTTTTTTTTTAATACAGTGGCTTTGTTTGCTTTAGGCTTTTAAGTTAAATTTGACTGTTTCCCAGAATCTAGTATTCAGTCTGTCAAAACCCAAATTCACCAACGGGATCGGTGGTCACAGTTCCTTACCAGTGAAATTTTACAGGTTGACATTCTAAAGGCCACAAAATTCAACTCACCAGGCGTAGAGATACAAATGCACGATAACTGATTAGAAGGAATAAAACTAAACAAATGAAATAGAAAAAGAAAAATAAACGTGATAAAACGGAAATTACCAACACACCAGTACAAGACCTCTCGATTAAAACAATTATCATCAGCAAAACATACAAATGCCTAAACACATTTGTTTTGTTCTGTTTGAAGAGAAAAGAGAGGGGGGGGGGGGTTTGGGAGCAAACAAGACGAACATAAGAAACTTCAAGAAAAGTGTTCACCGCTCTAAAGTTGCAAGAATACAACCCCAGATCCAGGGACGACTGGAGAAATGGTAGGACTCAATTCTCCATTTTTGCAGTGTCTTAGTCCTAAATCTAACCACCTACCTCCAATCTCTGGAGGAAAAACCAAATAGAGAAGCCCTGTGTATTTAGCCTATGAATGAAGCGAAGGTTGTCCGCAACAATCTTCAAATCTGCTCATATCTCATCCTCTTCAAACGGATCTCGCTCCGGATAGTCACCAACCTGCAAAGTATTCAATCAGGAAATGAAGCAAGAAGTGAAGCTGCAAAAATAACTAAATTACAATACAAGTGTTCAATCAGGAAATATAGCAAGAACTTATAAAAGTAACTCTGCATTGCCGATTGTTCATCTCTCTTTTTTTTCAGGTTCAACATCCACTTTTCCTTTTCCAAGTTTCTTCTTTCAAACAAATCATTGACACCAAATAGAAGCCATAACGTTTTTTGAATTAGTTTTTCGCAACATACCAATCACATCAATCTGACACGTGGCTTACTTATCACTCCAAATAGCAGTATCTGAGACTATAACTCTTATGTAAGATGTAAGTCCTTGGTGTCTTTATTCATGCCCTTGAAACATATGCAAATACATCAATTTATGAGAATCACGTGATATATGCTAAATTCTTCAGCTATGGAATGTGTTTTGTGCCTACGGATTAAAAAATTTATTTTTCTTGGAGCCTAAAGAAAAAGAAAGAAAACATGAATCAGCAGAAAAAATTCATGGCATTACCGATGAGACATGCAAGATGAATTGCCAGAAGCAATGCTCAACATAAAAAGGAAGAAATGCTGAAACACAGAAATTTAGCTATGTACTCTGACTAATATACTTTCTACTAAATACCTTTACTTTGTCAGGTCTGACCATCACACCATGAAGTGGCGGGCAATCAAAATAGCGCTTTCCTTTCTGCCTGTGAGCGATATCAATAGAATATCTCCATGAAGCAAAAACCAAGACAGAACTCTACTTGAGGCAAAAACTTAGAAATGACACCCTGTGAAGACCCACAAACAGGAATCTCCAATACAAGAACTTGTTGAAATGGAGTAACATATAGGAAATAGTGTTTTCAAAAGACCAAATTATACCAGAAAAAAGGTTAAGAGAGTAACCCACACATACTTGCCATCATGTTTTCCTAGTGGTTCATCAAACTGAACTCCAACCCAGAAACCAGGTGCAAGTGATTCAGCACGACCAACAAATTTCACCTCACCTCTTTTCTCCCCAGGTTCAACTTCACATCTATCTCCTACCTTTCCAGCAAGGACAAACGACATTGAAACTTAATGCTGAACAAGTTAACTTAACCACAGAACCAGAGGCAATCAAATTTCAACCAGCAGAAGGTTAAAAGTATTCCACCTAAAGTTTGACGACAGAAATACCTATCCAGTAGAGTTCTAGGACACCAAGCATTAGAAAAGATGACATGAATGGGTGGCTGGTCATTATGTAATATCTGTCTTGAAATAAGATGGTCACACTCAAGTATTCAACAACTTGTAACAAACCATTCTTGGTAATTTCATCAACGAATAAGCATTGCCATTCACTTTGATTGAGGCTAAAACATGACCAAATGACAGATAGTTTAGTGCTAGCATGTTCAAAACGCTTGCAAAACTGGTTTTGAGAACCACTCGTTCAACCAGGAAGAAAATGATGGCTGCTATGGACAGCAGATTAGGACACATTAGTTAGAGAAAAGCTTTCTTGCACCAAACTTTATATCTAGTGTTGATCAATAGACAAATACTACAATGGCAGAGGTGATTAAAATAAATAAATAATTGAAAAAAGAATGTTAGTCAATGTTTTGTTTCACATTTTAACATTTGGATAAGCTAATCATTATATAAGTTCATGTATGGTGTCACACCAGAAGGAAAAATAAGATCATATCAGAGTATAGAAAAAACCATTCCTTTTACCTTTACAGGTTATATTGAGAAACAACCAAACAGTGAACAAGCGACCATATATTGAAAACTTATCCCTGGTTGCAAGTAAATGATTGAAGATGACAAATACAGATACTTGATAGAAAATTTGATTAATAAACCTTAATGTTCGTGCAAAGATCTTCCATGTAGTTGTCCGCTATCTGTTTAGAGAAATGAATCCACATATCAGAGAAAGAAAACTGAGTTATTTTTGTGAAGAACCTGAAGACTGTCCTAGAGAATGTAATCTATCAGCTTTTGACAAAAAAGGAGAAATTTGAGAAAAGAACAGTTCTGTTTTATCAATGCAAAGGAGAAAACTGAAGTTTCGTCATTAGGCAAGTTATTAATAAGCTTGCCAGGAAAACTTGCTGATAAGTCAGGAGAAAGATATCAACAAAACCTGAAAAGAAGCTTACTTTAGGCTCCAGAAGGGAAGGATTTTGCTGTGCTAGTTTTTCCTTGAACTTTCTGAATGTACCTGAACGCAAAGATAGATACATTTGTCATCTCAGTTTGATTCAATAAACATTTGTCATACCACATCACTTGAGTAAAATCTTAAAATGCACACAAAGATATATACATTATGACAGATTAGAAATTAGACACCTGTAATTTTTTTTTTTTTTTTGCACAGAAGATCTGTGAAACAAAAGAAAAATGTATAACCTAAAGATTCAAAACCTTGTCCATAAAATTTAATTAAAAAATTATCCAAGATACAGGACAGTTTTTCTATTGATACAGCAAATAATATCTTATTGAATTCTCTTTTATCTAACTGCGCTCTCTGCACCCTCTAACTGAACTCCCAGAACAGAGATGTAGGATATTAGTGGATTGGTAATTCTAAAGAACAATTAATAGGCAACAAAGAAATAGGTATACCCATTTGCACACATCTTCTACAAGCTTCATCCCCCCCAACAACAAAAAACCCCCCCAAGAAGAGAAGTGCCGCAGCAAAATCAAAGGCTCTAAACCTATATGAGCAATAATTACCAAAAATTTTTTTGCAA